AGCCGAGCTGTTTGAAGTCATTTTCCGCAGTTTAACGGTACTTAAGCCGAGCTCGTTAGCTAGTCTAGCGGTAATACGGTCGCAGATCGTAGGTTGACTGCCTAGACGCTTAGTGAGGGTACCTTTAGCAGAGCGTTATTAGGTGGAATAGGCCAAACGGGCGACTGTAAGTCCGGCGGTGTATTACCCCTGTATTTACCACTGTTCCAGTTATCGGTTAATCGTCGAGTCCGACTTCCCAGGTATCCTTAATCACGAAGAGTTCGTGGTGAAGCTGGGAGGCGGGTCTTGGCGTTTAATTGGTAGCTGGAGGAATGTTAAATGCGGGTTTTTTGCACTTTTTTCCAGTAAAAAATTATAAAAAGGCAGATAATACAACAGAATTGAATTTTATTTATTATAATGGCTTGTTAAGGTTTTATTCTCCTTTATCTTTAGAAAGAAGTGTTTTAAATTTAAATTTTCGAAAAGTTTACATTCATTGGCTTACGGTGACAAATTGGTTTACTATTCTTAATTAAAGAGTTTTATCGTCTTATAGTTCATTGGGAACTTTTTTTTCGGACTTTGAAGAATAGCTTCTTTGCGGAAAACATTGTTTTTGTAAATGGGTCAAACTATCTTGATTCGGAGTTTAAATTATTAGAAATAGCCCTGTAAAGTATTCGAATTTTTTCCCAAAAGGCTCAAGGGAGCGCATTCATTATCCGTTTCCTTGACTACTTGCTCCCTTTGAAACATTCCTTGAACGTACGATGTCCGTTAACAGAATAATGTGCTCATGTTTTTATTTTACAATCAAACATTAATAAGTTTACTTTTGAACAAATTAAGTATGTACATGTTTTTTAGCTTTCATACCCACCGGTATATTACGTATAATACAAATATAAAATTTTCTAAAAGTTGACATTTACTGGCTTACGGCGACAAACATGTTGCATTTTATTCCTTTGATAAACGGGGAATTTGTTGTCCTGTTTGTCCATCATTAAATAAATTTGTTAATCATAGAAAAACGCTGCGAATTTGTACATATAGTTAGGTACAGATGATTTTGGAAAAAGAATAACAGTTAGAACTTATGTTCCGCAAGGAAATAATGAAAGACTAAACAGGACTGTAAAAATGATAGCAGAAGTTTCCTACCTTATAAATAATTAAAATGATTTGCGTGAGTAATTTGATATTTCAACGAGTTTGTATGGTTATTAGATGAATATTTTCATTGGCCAATTAATTTTAAATTACTTGAAAATATTAACTTGTAATTCTGTTATAAATTGGAAATATTGTTGTTGAAATTAGTCGAGCGCTTTTGCTATCCTTTTCATTCCGAATACTTGCTCTGTTTATTACAACGCCTAGGCGTACGATGCTGAACAATACAATCGCGTGTGATTGCTTATTATTAATATGCAGATAATTAAATAATCGGTTTAATGTTAATACGTTAATTTTTATGCAAATTGAGTATTGAGGTTTTGGTCTATTATATCACCTAATGTTTTATAAATAAAAAATACAAATACGATTTAAAAACTTACAACAAAGACAAGCAAGCAAAATAAAATAAATAAAGTACTAAACATATCGGAAATTCTGGCAGAAATTGAGAATAATAATTTTCTTTTGAAGCGAACGTAATGTTGACATTTTCTCTCTGAAAACTCTCTTTAAAAAACGTTTGAGGATACGATTTAAAGCCAGAAAATCAATTAATTTTTAATGTATGTGCAAGTAATATTTACATCTGGAATAGTGGGAAGGTTAACTACTATTTATGGAAAAAGCTAACAGTTAATAAGAATTTTCTTTGTTATAGCTACCTGACGATAAGAATTGTGAAGAAGATTTTTTAAGAAGAACGAACACCTGCAATGGGCGAGATCAGTGGATGACTTAAATTACAACAATGGTGAGTTTTTTCCAAAAATTAACATATTGTCTCTCTTTCTGTTTTTGTTTGTAACAGTATCTTCGACAAGAGCCATCCATGGCATTTTTGGTTGATCTGGAAAATTATTTAATAGTTTCAAAAAGATTTTCCATGCATAAAACATTTCTCTTTTCGATGGTAGAAACAGATTTTAATTTGGACTTTGCAGAAGGGTAGTACAGCTCTAAAAAGTGTCGTTTGTTTCTGCAGAAAACTATTCCATTTTCGAGGTTGTTGTAGCTTGTTTTTAATAATTTTTAAATATTCTAAAGCATTTTTTGTTGTTAAGAATATATTTTTTGGCTTTTGTTCGAGCGTAATTTTCTCTCTTTCTTTCACCGAATACTTGCTCTCTTTAACAGTCGTATACTTGAACGCTCGACCGACAGAACAAGACATTTTGGCTCGTTTTAGTATAAATAACCATTAAAAATGTGTTTTGAAAATTAATGCGTTATATTTGTGTAAATTAAACCTTTTTAAACTTGTATTACTAAAGGAATGTCTTAGTTTGTCTATTTAATAATATGTTTGGGCTGATTTGGGAAATTAGCGGATCAAGGTTAATAGTTCATTCATTGTTTGAATCTGTACCATTGTCGAGTTGGTTGTAGCTTATTTTTAATGTTGTTTAAATATTTTAACGCATTTCTTGTTGTTAAGAATATATTTTTTGGCTTTTGTTCGAGCGTAATTTTCTCTCTTTCTTTCACCGAATACTTGCTCTCTTTAACAGTCGTATACTTGAACGCTCGACCGACAGAACAAGACATTTTGGCTCGTTTTAGTATAAATAACCATTAAAAATGTGTTTTGAAAATTAATGCGTTATATTTGTGTAAATTAAACCTTTTTAAACTTGTATTACTAAAGGAATGTCTTAGTTTGTCTATTTAATAATATGTTTGGGCTGATTTGGGAAATTAGCGGATCAAGGTTAATAGTTCATTCATTGTTTGAATCTGTACCATTGTCGAGTTGGTTGTAGCTTATTTTTAATGTTGTTTAAATATTTTAACGCATTTCTTGTTGTTAAGAATATATTTTTTGGCTTTTGTTCGAGCGTAATTTTCTCTCTTTCTTTCACCGAATACTTGCTCTCTTTAACAGTCGTATACTTGAACGCTCGACCGACAGAACAAGACATTTTGGCTCGTTTTAGTATAAATAACCATTAAAAATGTGTTTTGAAAATTAATGCGTTATATTTGTGTAAATTAAACCTTTTTAAACTTGTATTACTAAAGGAATGTCTTAGTTTGTCTATTTAATAATATGTTTGGGCTGATTTGGGAAATTAGCGGATCAAGGTTAATAGTTCATTCATTGTTTGAATCTGTACCATTGTCGAGTTGGTTGTAGCTTATTTTTAATGTTGTTTAAATATTTTAACGCATTTCTTGTTGTTAAGAATATATTTTTTGGCTTTTGTTCGAGCGTAATTTTCTCTCTTTCTTTCACCGAATACTTGCTCTCTTTAACAGTCGTATACTTGAACGCTCGACCGACAGAACAAGACATTTTGGCTCGTTTTAGTATAAATAACCATTAAAAATGTGTTTTGAAAATTAATGCGTTATATTTGTGTAAATTAAACCTTTTTAAACTTGTATTACTAAAGGAATGTCTTAGTTTGTCTATTTAATAATATGTTTGGGCTGATTTGGGAAATTAGCGGATCAAGGTTAATAGTTCATTCATTGTTTGAATCTGTACCATTGTCGAGTTGGTTGTAGCTTATTTTTAATGTTGTTTAAATATTTTAACGCATTTCTTGTTGTTAAGAATATATTTTTTGGCTTTTGTTCGAGCGTAATTTTCTCTCTTTCTTTCACCGAATACTTGCTCTCTTTAACAGTCGTATACTTGAACGCTCGACCGACAGAACAAGACATTTTGGCTCGTTTTAGTATAAATAACCATTAAAAATGTGTTTTGAAAATTAATGCGTTATATTTGTGTAAATTAAACCTTTTTAAACTTGTATTACTAAAGGAATGTCTTAGTTTGTCTATTTAATAATATGTTTGGGCTGATTTGGGAAATTAGCGGATCAAGGTTAATAGTTCATTCATTGTTTGAATCTGTACCATTGTCGAGTTGGTTGTAGCTTATTTTTAATGTTGTTTAAATATTTTAACGCATTTCTTGTTGTTAAGAATATATTTTTTGGCTTTTGTTCGAGCGTAATTTTCTCTCTTTCTTTCACCGAATACTTGCTCTCTTTAACAGTCGTATACTTGAACGCTCGACCGACAGAACAAGACATTTTGGCTCGTTTTAGTATAAATAACCATTAAAAATGTGTTTTGAAAATTAATGCGTTATATTTGTGTAAATTAAACCTTTTTAAACTTGTATTACTAAAGGAATGTCTTAGTTTGTCTATTTAATAATATGTTTGGGCTGATTTGGGAAATTAGCGGATCAAGGTTAATAGTTCATTCATTGTTTGAATCTGTACCATTGTCGAGTTGGTTGTAGCTTATTTTTAATGTTGTTTAAATATTTTAAAGCATTTTTTGTTGTTAAGAATATATTTTTTGGCTTTTGTTCGAGCGTAATTTTCTCTCTTTCTTTCACCGAATACTTGCTCTCTCTAACAGTCGTGTGCTTGAACGCTCGACCGACAGAACAAGACATTTCTGTTCGTTTTGGTATAAATAGCCATTAAAAATGTGTTTTGAAAATTAATGCGTCATCTTTGTGTGAATTAAACCTTTTTAAACTTGTATTACAAAAGGAATGTCTTAGTTTGTCTATTTGATGATATGTGGGGGCTGATTTCGGAAACTAACGAATCAAAGTTAATAGCTCTTTCATTGTTTGAAATCTATACCATTATCGAGGCTGTTATGGTATATTTTTAATGTTGTTTAAATATTTTAAAGCATTTCTTGTTGTTAAGAATACATTTTCTGGTATTTGTTCGAGCGTAATTTTCTCTCTTTCCTTCACCGAATACTTGCTCTCTCTAACAGTCGTGTGTTTCGGCGGTCGACCGAGTAAAGAAAACGTTTTGCTCCTTTTAAGGATGTTTGGGAGGTACAATCGGGGAGACAAGGGTACATAGAATTAGAAATTCGTGATTAATTAGGTTTTGCAGCACATCATGAGGTAAATAAATACTATCTATACTAAAAAGAAAGTAGACGGTTTGAGAGAAAATTTGGAATTATACCAAAAGCTTTGAATAAAATAAGAAATAACGAATAATATGGAAAAATTTTAACTGACTTTTGGCANAATTTATCTGTAACGATGAGTTATGATAACGCCTTTCTCAATTGAACTGTTATATTGCTTGCTTATAGTATTTTGATAGTTACACACAGATAAATGATCAGATTCTAAATTATTCGAAGTAACATTAAAATTCATAGTGTACATGAATAAGAAATAACCATTTAGTGAATTTGAATAACCTTACGCTAAAGTGATTCTCCAGAGTTCAAGTTACTTATTATAAAAGTTTGAAATTTCTGGTAGCTTTTTTCTGTTAATAAAAATAAATTTAATGTGTTCGGTTAACGAATCTCCTTAAAATGACGTGTAAAATTACAATTTTTTAAAATTTCAATACATTTTTAACGGTTTAGTGAATTGATTTGTAATTTTTACAGGAGTTTTAGAACTGAATGAGGAACTTTCCGCCAAATTTTTATTTGTCTCGTAGCATTTTGACATACCCCCCAAACATCCTTAATATAAATGACAATTTACTTTGAAAATGAATGCATTTCATATACTTAAACTTGTAGTACAAAGAGAGAAAGTGTTAGTTTTTCTATTTAGTATGAGGTGGATGTTACGTGTGCTTTTTATGTTTAGAACTTTTCTATAATTCTTACGTTATAGCAATTAAATGATGTTTATTCTAAGACACATTCAAAAACAATTAACGGTATGAGATTCTTTACACATTTTAGCATAAATTTTTCTTTTTGAAACTATCTGGTTTATCCTTTAGAACTTTGAAAATTGACGTGCGCGTTTTCAGTTTTACAGTTTACAGTGTTTTACATAATTTTAACGTTACAGTAATTGATTTTTCTTCATCTCAAGAAGCACTCAAAAACACGTTATTTATTATTCCTTTTTAGATTAATTCCACTATTTTGAACTTTCAAAGTAATTGTTTATACATCGAAAATTTATGCGGGCATTTTAACCGCAGGGTAAAATTTTTTCGTATAATATGCAGGTGTATGTAACCTGGATATACTGGGTGTATTGTGGAATTTTTTTTTATGAATATAGGGGTATTTTAAGAACATTTGCTGTTGCTTATTTCTTTTGCTTTAGAACTTGATGATAAGTCTTTTATTTTGTTAACATTGTATCGATTTTTCAAATTCTTTTTGCCCTAGTTTAAGGGTTTGTTTTCAGAACTCACTTTTTTAATATTTTATCCTTGTATTTCAGGTACATCTTCCAATCCAGTCATCAAATAAGAGCCACCCCTACAATGGACCAATTAGAGCATCGTCTTTACAGGGACACTTCGGGGAATGGTAGATATTTATTTTTTTTTTGTTATACAGTTTTTTTTATAAAACACCTTTATTTTTTTATATTTACATACTTTATAATTTTGTCTTCGTTTTTATTTGTTTTAATGCTTCTTTCATAAGTTTGTTAATTTCTTTTACACTTCGTTAATATATCTTTTTTACATACCTTCCCTTGTTTCTTTGTATTATTTTATATTTAATTTGAAACTATTTTTTAAAGGTTTTTTTCTTTTTATTTTAACTTTCTTAACTTACACTTATTTCGAGACCCTTGTGCTGAAGAATTTTGTTAAACCTTTTACGCTTTCAGATACATCGTCCAGTCCAGCTATCAAACAAGAGGAACCACAGCAATGGACCAATTCGTGGATCGTCTTTATAGGGACATTTCCAGGAATTGTATGTATTTATTTTGATTTAATTTATCATTAAAATCCTTTTTTAATTTCTAATTATTTTAATACTGCTTTCATAACTTCGTTAATATCTTTTATTTATCTACCCTGCCTTGTTTATTTTTATTCCTTTAGATTTAGTTTTAAACGATTTTTTGAAACTTCTTTTTAATTATTTTGACAATTTTCTCTGGAACTTAGTTTATTTTATTTATTTTGACTTTGTTGACCTCAACTTATTTTTAGGTCTTCGTGCTGAAGAATTTTTCAAATCTTATACTCTTTCAAGTACATATTCCAACCCAGTTATCGAACAAAAACCACCCCAGCAATGGGCCAACTCAAGGATGGTCGTTATAAGAACAACAAGAGTAATGGTAGGCATTTATTACATTCTTTGTTAAACAGCATTCATTAAAATTTTTCCTTAGTTTTTATTTATTTTAATACTACTTTCATAACTTCGTTAACATCTTTTATTTACTTACCTTAACCTTGTATTTTTTATTCCTTTAGATTTAATTTTAAACGATTTTTTAAAACTTTTTTTCCTTTTATTTATTTTGCCTCTTTTCTTTGAAACATACTTTATTTTCTTTATTATAATTTTCTTGCTTAGACTTACAATCTTATACTTTCAGTAACATCTTCCTGTCCAGCCATTGAACAAGAACCACCCCAACAATGGGCTAACTCAAGGATCGTCTTTGTCAGGACACGATTTTTAAAACTTCTTTTCTTTTGTGTTTATTTTGCCACTTTTCTTTGGAACTTATTTTATTTTAAGTTTCTTGAGTTAGACTTACAATCATATGCTTGCAGGAGTATCTTCTTGACTTATTTTTAGATCCTTATGTTGAAGAATTTTTTGAAACCATATACTCTTTCAGGCATATCTTCCAGCCCAGTTATCGTACAAGGATCACCCCTACAATGGACCAATTCGAGAATCGTCTTTATAGGGACAGTTCGAGTAATGGTACGTATTTAATTATTTCTTTGCTTTTATAACACTTTGTTTTCTCAAGTTTATATTCATTTATATAGTTTCATAATTTTTATTAATGCATGCTACCTTTTATTTATTTACTTTGTCCTCTTTGTTTTCTTTCTTTATTTAAAATTTAAGATATTTCTTTAAATTTTTTTTATTTAGTTTTATCTTTTTTCAGCATGTTCTTGTTATTCATCCTCTAACGCTTTTCTTGGCTTAAACTTATTATTAGATCCTTTTAATTTACTTTAACACTTTTCTCTAATACTTATATTTTACTTCCTTAATTTTTAATGCCCTGTCTTGAAGAATTTTGCCAAGCCTGATATTGTTTCAGGTACATCTCCCAGTCCAGCCACCGAACAGGGACCACACCAGCAATTGGTCACTTCCAGGATCGTCGAGATGCGATTCAACAGGGGTAGGCTTATTTTTTTGTACTTGTCTCTTTTATTACTTTAGTTTTTTTGATCTTTACTTTCTTTTCAATTATTTTCACTTGGTAACTTTAGCTTTTCATTTTCTTTCTTTAATTTTTTCACCGTTTCCATTTATTTTGTTTAAAACTCTTTTCTTTATTGTCTTTA